GCGATCGTGGTCGCGGGAGTAGTCGGTTCGTTTGAAAGAAATCTTCCGCCTCGCAGACATCCATGGAACCATTCAGCACCCATGTTGGATTATGTCTCCCATCAACAAGCTGACCGGCGATGGCATCGACGACGTCTCCGTGGAAAGGTGTCGCACGGGTCTTCAAACCATTGGTGGTGATTGTACGTGGGGTCCCGTTCGCAAGCCTACTTTGCTTAAAGCCACCTCAACCTGGATCGCGCAAAAGCTGTCAGTGGAGTGCCAAAGCCTCGTTCCACCACATGTTCAGATGACTAGCCTCCCCACGGCTCCGGGACATGCAGAACTACAAGCCAAGCAGCGATCCAGCAGGCACGACGGCTGCTCACCACGGAGGACGTACAAGTTGTCCCGCATGGCCAGCACGATCTGGAGGCCCTCAATCGAAACCTCATTCGCAAAGTTGGTCGCAAGGCTGTACACACACCTGCCACGCTTCATCGACAGATGTGGCATCTTGGGCGAGATAGCCTACAAGAAGCAGTTCGATCCACCAAGCTCGGCATCCAGGCATTGCCGGCAGCTAACGAATACAAATGCTCAGTGTGTGAGCGCCGGGCGCTGCGTCTTCGGCTGCTGCTTTCCACCAGGTGTTCTTGCTTGACTCCTTCTCCGTACGATGGAAAGGTGCAGTTTTCATCGCGATCATGCTGGTGATGCTCACATAGTGTTTCTCCGGATCGAGGAGCCGTTCGATGTCAGCACCATCTACGCCGAGGTCTACGGCCAGCAACGCTGCTCAAACACGCGACTTTGAGAACTTGGAGGCTGAGGGGATCGTCAGCAACTGAGCATTCCATGCTGGAATAGGTCGCTTACAGAAGTGGGTCGACAGACACCCTTTGACGACCCTGTGAGCTTATCCGGAACCAGGACCTGATCCTTCAACTTTGGGATCAGCTGCAGCAAGCACAGCAAGCCCGGCAGCGCCGGATTCCTCCGCCACAGGTTCATGTGACTCGGAGAAGCCGACGATACCATGTGCAGGCAAACTGGGGCACATTTCCTGCTGTCGCCGCATTGAAGGCATCTGATAGCAAGCATGTGCAGAGCCATGACTCATAGCCTCTCCGTTATCTTTTCCTCTCGAGATCTCTGTTCGCCTGATTACGGGCCTCTTGAACCCCTCGAAGGCGCAACATGCTGGCAGATGAATTCAGTCAGCAGCAGACTTCGTGTGCCAGCTGGTCAGTGGCATTTCATTTGTTGCCGAATCCCCTATGCATTCTGCAGTGCGCTAGAGGCAACGTGAGGCTGCCGTGGAAATCCACGCTCCTGAAGATGCTCCTGAGTTGTACTTGGACCAAGGTTTGGTGAGGATTGCCATTGGATGCCGTTGAATTTCCAAGATGCCCCTCAGAAGCTCTTTTCTTGCAGAATCCGGTGCCGCACGTGCCCCCGTACTCCGATTTGCACATGGTTTGGGCTTACATCCCGTTGTGTCACATGGTTACCCCCACGGCTAGTGCATCTTTGTAGTGAGCCTCCTTATGCCGGCAGGAAGATGAACACTGACGCATCCACCCCAGGCCACGTAGATCGCGCTGGGACATCGCCTGCGACAGCCTCTGCCGCGCTCGCCAGGCGGGGCAAAATTGTGGTGCGAGCATGGGCGCGGGTGGCCAGAGAAGCCCGCAGCATTCGCTGGCCCACAGGCCCCGAATGTCGGAGCGCAGGACCGCCGCAGCAACCCGAGGCCGGCGACGGCCTGCCGCTCGATGGCGTCATCCACCTCGCAACTCCTTCGGGCCAAAGCCGCTTGCCCTTGTGGCCTTGGTGGACGACTGCGGCTTCTCCCGGTAGAGCAGCCGAGTAATCTTCAGGACACATCTTGGCAGCCGGAAAAGGTGCATGCAAAAAAAGAATAAAATACGAGTATTTATTATATGCTCTTGGCATTGTCCACCGGGTCGTGCTGCTATGTTGCTCTGCGCCATGCCTGTATCGGCGTCTTCGCTAGTAGCCAGCAATCCTTTGCGTAAACAAGCCGGGTCTCGTACAGTAGTGCTGGGTGAGGCGCAACCTCTGGGGACAGATGCGTGCATGCAGCCCGGGTGTGCCACCAGGCTTTACCAAGCGCATGGAGCATCGCCGTTTGCTGAGCAGCACCCCGACCCTTCAGAACACTGACTGCTGCTCCAATACCGCGCCGTTCCCCGGGCGAACTACTTGGCACGTAACCTGCTGCCTTGCCTCACACCTCAGGTTGCAGCTCACCATGACGTTGCGGCCCGCCTAGCCGAGGCCAAAACAGTGTGCCGATCGCTTTGACTGGCGGGTGGCGGCGGGGGTTCCTGGCACGACACTTCGCCTGCGGTTCATGCACGGTCGTCCCAACTCGCAGCCGTCGTCGGTCCAAAGGCGGCAATGACAGCCGACTTTCTGCGTGGCTGACAATGATTAGATGCGTTTCGCCACCTTCATTCACCCTGCACCCATACCGGAGCTGCTGTCCCGCGGAGTGCTGAATGCCGAGTTATCCTGCTCCGGCGACTTCGGCTGGCACTCCAACTTCCGCTGGCCCCACGCTCGTGTCGGTGCCGTGCGAGTCTCGACCCCTTGGAAGACCGATACACTGCATGCCCAACCTCACGTGCTTTAGAAGCACGTGCGCTCCCGTCTGAAGGAGCTGTCGCAACGCGCGCCTCGCAGACAAAGGTCCATGATGCCCGCAGGATCAAGATCGTGTTCAGTGGCAAGCCGTGGCATGCCACATTGGCACGACGCGCAGCTCGCCGATGACACCGCCCTGGTGTCCGGTGTCACCCAAACAGGCGAGCCACGACAGGGTGCAGCGATCCAGCAAGCGACGCGGCGAAATCGGCAGAGTACTTTATTTGACGGAGCTGCAGCGCATTCCACGCTGCAAGCTCGTGGTGTTTGGCATCGAAGCAGGCAACGCTGGGGGTCTGAATCTGCAACCTTGCTGCGGCTGCAGACGGTTTGTGAAGCCATGGTGCCCAAGCTGCCGTCCAGCCCTGCTCATGAAGACCCCCGAAAAGTGCTCGATCATCCACGCCACCCACCCGCAACTCGACACCCGAGTGCGTCGCAAACGCAGCCGTAGCCCTATCAAATCCTATCAACCCACCGGGAGTCGAGGGGGCAACAAATTGGTGCAGCGACCGGCGGCCGTCAGGGGCAAGCGACTCGGTTTTGCCGCCCCCGCCAGCACAGCCAGGAAGCCGAAGGCCCCTGAGGCTCTTCACGCAATGGTGCAATGAAGAGTCCTTCCAGAACTTGCGGCTCCCGATTCGCAGCGCCAGACACTTTGCACGCCCACGCGGCGGTCGCTTCACCCGGGCAGTCCGCGAGCCCAGGCCACGGCGCCCGTTCGCAGCCCAAAGCTGCAGGCAGAGTGGAAAGCCACGATCATCCGTTCCATGCGCACGTCCGCGAAAGATCGCGAAACACTTCGCACCGGAGTGATGTAAAGTGTCAGGCGCAGTGTGAAAAGCAGGGCAACCTGAGCCTCGGAGATGCATGTAATAGAAGCGCGGTGCATCAGCGAAGCGGGTGAAGCACATTAGGGGTCAGAAATTCCAAAGCTGCACCCGTCGGGCTTCCCTCTGCCAGCTCGCCCATGAGCCGCACCGCAAAGAACCCAAGCATTCTCTGTTACGTTCTGCATCGCCCCTAAGAGGCGACTGCCACGACGGGTCTGCGCGTGTATGACGGAAGCCGCTGGTGACGGCAGGTGGGATCTCCAGACTCCCTTTGTTTGGCAGGCGAAGCGGCAAGGTGTAGTGGCTGAAATCCGTCTGTGGATGCAGAGCGTGAAAATGTACCCAGTACTGTTGTCCATAGGGGTGCTCTGTGACCAATTTTGTTCGGGGTTTTTTCGTTCCTGCTTTTTCCGTTTAACTCGTGCTTCACTTGCGTTCCATTGCAATTTCGAGTAAAAAATTAGAACACAAGAACACAAACGACAGACCGACCAAACTAGAAGGTAATAAGGGAGTGAAGTTAATCATTTGGATCGTAGCCTTGCTAAATTTGCAAATGAATGAGAAAGAGTGCACGAAATTAACCTAAACACCAGCAGAGTACGAATGTAACCAGCAACAACAGCTCGAAATCTGGGCTTGTTGGGAATCTTGTTGTGATTCTTGTGCTTTGTATTTGTGTTTTGTATTTCATTTCGGATAATTGTCTCGCGCATGCTTTGCAAACATAGAGAAGGCCGAACTTAGTCAGTAAACACACCGATACACAACACATGCACACAGACTCTTCACGGAGCAGGTCTTCCACCCGGTCATTTCAGGTAATGCATTGCCAAGGCAAGTCAGAAAAGGGCATGTCTGATCAGGTCAGTTTTGCTTGAAATTGTCGTGACACGTGAGGCGCAGACCGTGAGCATTCGGGGGCAGAGACTCTGATCGCGTGCCTCCTCGCTCGGCGTCGCAGGCAGCGCCGCAGCCCGTGTCCGAGTGCACTGTCGCGACAGGCAGTTGCAGCGGCAGGCAAAGCGATGCACTGAAAGGGCACCGAGCCAGGCAGCCTGTGGCAACTGCGAACAGCCTGGGAAGAGCAGTGCAGCAGCTAGGTCTTGCGGAGATGGGCAAGAGAGGATGTTTCCGGCTCAGTGTAACTGTCCACGGCTTTAGCTCCCCTCCCCGGACTGGATTTTAGGCGCTTTCGAAAGCACAGGACCACAAAACGCGTGGCAGAAGTTGCACCTATCTGCACATTGCAGACTATGCTACGATGCCGAAGTCTTCATGCAGGCGCCTCGGCGTGAGCAGCGAGAGACGCGCAATTGCCTGATAGGCCCCCCAAGGGTTCGCATACCTGCAAGAGCCTCGGAGAGCGTCTCCACGCCACGCCCACCAATTTTTTCTGGGGCGATTTCGAACCCTTCGCCAAGATTGGGTCGTTACGCAAGCGTCCCGCGTGAACGCGACGATGCCCGCAGTCCGGACCGTCACATTGCGATTCGTGCGATCTGCCCGAACCTGGCAAGTGCCGAGGTCGGCAGGAGTTTGGGGCAGCCGCTTCTGAGGGGTGTTGCGCGAGAGCGCCATCGTTCCATGCTCCAGGTACCCCAAAACTCAACGGCTTGCGACCGGGATACGCGCTCAAAAGCTTTCTTGACACGATGATGAGCGGCGTTGGGTAGACTTTGGTAAGGAACCCCAAGTTGAAGTACTGTCCTCAGCCACGGGAAGCCGGAGAGACCGGGTCACTAAACTTGACTCTTGCTAAAGAACCTAATTTAGGTTACCATAATGAATGATAATAGGGATCCGCTTGGCTTCTTTATGATGGCAACTTAAAATCAAAAATCCTTAACACCAACCCAGTAGACTCGAGAACACTACTCCCCAGGCATGCTTCTTTTTCACTGCGCTGGAGTCGAGCCTTGTCCTTGACGGCTTCAGGTGCGGGCAAAGGCTGCTGAAACGTCTGTCTCCAAGCACCGAAACTAGGGTGTAAGGTTTAGGGGTTAGGGGTGTAGGGGTTTAGGGGTTTAGGGGTTTAGGCGTTTAGGGGTTTAAGGGGTTTAGGGGTTTAGGGGTCTAGGGGTTTAGCGTCTGGGGTCGAGGTTTCCCCGAAAGCTCTAGCAACCCGAAGCTGCAGACTTTGCATCCGTACACCTCGGACCAAGTGAAACTTCCTGCAAAGATTTCGCAGGCGTTGCAAAGGCTCCCAGGTATTCTGGGAGGCTTCCAAAGGCGGCATGCCGATGCTGGGTGGTCTTTCGTTTGGGTTAGGGTTTAGGGTTTAGTGTTTAGGGTTTAGGGTTTAGGGTTTAGGTCTGGGGGTTTAATTCGCGCTTCAGATTTAAGCTTCAGAGATATGGGGTGTGGTTAGGGGCTGTGGGGCTTTGAAATCTGACTTTTGCGTTTATGTCTCAGACTTAGCTGCAGGCTTCGCACTTGCAAAACCAAATTTCATACAAGGCTTAAAGTTTAGGGTTCAGGGTGCGCAGGACATCAACCCATAAATGCAGATGCCGTTGGCACATGGCTTGAGCATTGAATGCAGATCTTACACTCGACACATGTTTGCCGAAGCTTCGCGTGACAGATTTTCCGAAGTGGTGGCTGAAAAGTCTCTGAAAAATCAGCCTTAAATCCAAACCAAAAACCCGATGACCTAAACTCTAGAACCGTAAATCCTGCATAAACAAAATGCCGCCACCTTGTAGCTGGCAGTTGCTGTATCTCGAGCCTCCGCATACGCCTTGGCACCACAACGGGGCTTAGACTCACACCATATAGTCAAATATGGAGGCCTTAATGATTAAGATTGGGTTTCGAGTTTCGGGGTATGTCATTGTGTCATAAGAATAAGGACACCTTGTGATTCAGGTTTGTGTAATCATCAGCTGACGTGCCTCTGAGGTCCATGAACACAGCAAGAGAGTATGGCACGCCAAAAGACTGATCCACCTCGCAACCTGAACCCTAAACCCTAAAGTCTAAACCCTGAAGCCTAAACCC